TTATCTTGTTGATTTAATTGATATGTTGTTTATATCTACTAAAATTCCCGTTGGGGCACGGGCCATTAGCTGGGTGTCATTTTCATTTAAACTACATAATATTACGTTGGAAAATGAAACTTTTTTGACTATTTAAAAAAACAAAACTATAAAACCAGAACATGGACCGCACTAAATTAAAAACAAACAAATAAAGGAGCTCTCTGTCTTCATCCGTATTAGCGAAGTGTCCTAAAGCAGAGGTTTTAGTGTACGTCGCGCACTCCTAAAAACGCATAAAGAAATCCGCTCTGAAAAAACAACAAGGAAACACGAAGGATCTTAAGGGGACGAAAACTAGGCTTTCCACTTTCGGCTCGGGATCAATCCATCCCCTATAGCAATTCCCGCCTACTCCATCCAATATTTACCTGACCACGCGGACTTGAAAGCCCTACGTGATCTCCTAAAAACTTCTTTTCCGTCGGAGTTTTACGGTCACACGCGGGCAGACGCGAAATAGTCTCGGAGCTTTCCGGTCGTCGCTGAAAATGCTAAATTCCTACGTTTTCGCCCGTAAAACCCGCATTACCATATTAGTATTTATATGGATACGGGGATGCGGTCGGTTAGTAAAACCTACCGCGTTTCTTTCAAAGGACATGCGACGTGTTTTAATTAGACGTTAGGGATTTTTTCCACATCTCTTCGTCTTTTAAATTTTTATATACTTTTTATAATTATTTGATTATAAACCTAATATGCTATATTTTATATTACATTATAATTCCAACCCAACCCTAAGCAAATAAAACCTAAAGATACACTAGACCGTTTATTTGTGGTATAAGTGCATATTCTCTTGTTTCGAGAAAATTATAGGAAGTCTCCCAATATTTCTATTGTTGTATAAATATTTAATTTGATTATATAGATTTGTTTTTGGGCTAATTAGATCACAATTATGTATATTCATAGGCTGTAAATGGACTTAACCACTTTCAAAATTAGACAATTGTAAAAATCAATTTTGGAAAATCCAAATCACTTAAAATATACTTCATTTTAATCCAATTAATTGTTTACAAATACTCACAAGACATAAAATTTAATTTTAGACTCTAAGTGCATTATGAGAATTACAAGATACTGATAGAATTTACTATAGTATTATATCGGGTAATAACTGCTTTTTTTTGTACAAAGGTGCCAGGGCGATTTTTTCAAACTGTAGCGGTCTTCTAGGACGTGTAGTTAATAAATTGATAGTTTTACACTCTGCGTCTTTTACCTCAACCAACATATTTGTAACCAATTGATATTAGTATTTCTATATCTGTTTTTTAATCGTATTTTGAAATTTTGTTGTTAAAACGAAATTCTCTCGGTTCATTTCATGTAAAATGAATTTTTCATGTTTTCTATATTCCTTTACTATATCGTAATAATCTTGTGGTGTTTAGAGAAAACTATTTTTTCGCAATGCCATATCTATTATGCCAAAATCTGCATGATTTGGAAAGTACGAATGCCCCGAAAGTAAAAATTTGTGGTCAATGTTATTTTCCTACGACTACTTTCAACCACATGAATGCTATTTGTAAATTTCGATTTTGCCTAGTACACATGTCACTGCAGGTAATGAAATGACTTTGGATAGTTGCATTTTCTAAATGCCTCAAACAACAAGAAGCTACTTCTTGCCATCCCCTACATACAAACAATAGTTTCGTCCCACACATACATATTAACTTCATTATTCGGGAAATTGTGGAAACCCTCCTTTAAAATATATATATTTCACTGGTAATATTCGCTTGTAATTTCAATTAATGTAGGGCTATTTATAAATCAAAAGAGAAGGCAAAATATGTATCCGGATTTTCTGATGCCAGAATTTTATCATCAATCATTTTTTCTTGATCATCAGTTTTTGTCTTAATTTTTGAAAACCCTCATTTGAAACATACATATTTCGCTCGTGATATGCGATTGAGACAAGTAATTTCGGGTATGTAAAAATTATTAGATACTGATTGTAATCTATTCGCTATTAGTGTTTTTTTTTCATTTGTTTTTCAATCGCATTTTGAACATTTCATGTTGAAACGAAATTCTCTCAATTCATTTCATGTAAAATGAATTTGTCATGTTTCTGCATAATCTTGTGGTGTATACATAAAATTCCTTCTTCGCTACATCAGGTATGAATGCCCGAAAGAAAAAGTTTGTGGTCAATTATGAAAGTGTTATTTTCCAACGACTGGGCAACCTTCAGCCACATCAATGCCATTTGTAAATTTCGACTTTGCCCAGTACACATGTCACTGTAAGCAATAACAAAGTAACAATAAAAAGCTATTTTTTGAGATCCCCTAGAACCAATAGTTTCGTCCCACACACACATGTTAACTTTATTATCGTGGAACTTGCGAAAAGCATCGTTTAAAATGTACATATTACGCTTGTAATATCCGATTGAGGCAAATAATTTCTGGCAAGGAAAGGCTTTTTTAAGTCAAAGGGAATGTATCAGGATTTTCTGATGTCAGAATTTTATCTTTTTTTATTTCTTTTCCTGCTGATTCAGCATTTTGAATCGTTTTTTCTTCGTCTTGTTGTCTTAATTTTCATGTTTAAGGAATCGCATTTCGCTGGTAAAATCAAGTGTAACTTGGAACTTCGTTTAAACATTTTCCTATATGTTTATTCATAACGGAATTATTTTCTTTGCATTTTTTTAAATATAAATTATAAATTTTTCTTATTCAGGATTTAAAAACATCCAATCTGAATTTTACTATAGAGTATAGTGTAGAGTATAGGGAATCAGTCAATAGAATACAGATTGTCGCACCATATAGAAATACATTTTGTTAAAATTAAAAAATGTCTATACTTTGTGTTTCATTAATACGTTCAATACAATTCCTTCGGCAATTACAATTATCGGAATCAAATTGTTTTGCAGGAATAAATTTTCCTCTTTCTGTACAATACTTTTGTCCATTATTTCGCTTAATTTTGTTTATTTGTTGCAAACATTTTTCTTTATTTTGTTCTACAGAATTTAAGTTCTCAATAACAATGTCCTCATCTGACGAAGATTCTACCTCTATTATCATTCTTCTTTTGTTACGATACTTTAATTTGTTGTTCATAGTGAAATTCTGATTATTCTTCTGTTTATATTTATGAATTTTGTGTCTGGGAGAGAATAATTTATAACTAAGTAAAATAGATATTTTCAATTGTTAAAAAATAATATTAAATTACCATTTATATTACACTATCTGACGTTAATATGAATTATTCATTTTAACAAAAAATACAATAAGTAACTTAATTAGCAACTCTTGACACGTAAGATCACACGTAGGACATAACAAATGAAAAATAACAGATAACTGATCGGTGACCATGCATTAGGCCATCCAATGGCCATGTCAATTGGACTTATACCACTCTCATAATGGATGATTATGCAATTTTATTTACCAGGAAGGCGATCAAAGACTTGCAGCCCCAGTATACAGGGTGATCTAGACGAAATTTTATATTTGGCTAAAGGTATATGAATTCTGTTATGCTGTCTGGTATTAGAAGAACGAATATCTTTATTTTGAGTAAAGTTGTTTTTGTTTTTAAGTTCATACTGAGCTCGAATATAAGCACAACATGTTAATGTCAGGAGACCGTATTTATTAAATTTTTTTCTATAAGAATTAGAACTCGGTACGCCAGCAATACAACGAATCGCTCTTTTCTGTGCTAAAAACGAACCCCATAGTTTTATTTATTCCGTATCGTGGGAGAGAGTAATATATAATAATTGTGACTCCGTCAGTAGACTGCGCAAATCCTTCGGCATGTAAATATTCGAGTTGAATCCAGAAATCAAGAACTCCCAGTTATTTTGGTAGTTAAGATTCTCATCGATCAAAAGATCTAAAAATTGATTTATTGAGATTTAAAAACAAACTATTACTGTTAATCCAGTTATGAACGTTGCTCAACATATAGTTGCATTTAGTGTGAAAGATGATTTTCTACATCATTGTAAATAGGACAGGACCTAAAACCGATTCCTGTGGAACACCTATATCAAGATCAACTACAGACGAATTAATCTAACGACAGAGATTATCTTTGTCATTAAAAACACTGTCCAACTGCTTGCGCTCCTGCAAAACGGACTCTATCAAGCTAAGAACAATATCTGCGATCGCATAATGACAACCTCCCAAAATGAGTGCGGGGATCAATACAGTCAAACGCATTACTGAGATTACAAAAGATCCCAATAGGGCACTCTTCCGATTTCAGGATTTTCAAGTGTGAACTCTTCGCAGACTATTCAAAATCTCATATACTGAAAGCATTTCTAACGAAAAGCAAGTGTTATATTGCGAGCGGAAGAGGACAAGGACGAAAACAACACACAAACAACAACATTTTGGAGGACAGGCGACAATACCTTTGCAATCAATTGTGGAGCATGTGCAGATGATCCCTAACGTGCTAGAATGCATAATGAAATAGAAGAAGAAGAACAGACGTCCAAGACGTCTAGTGGATACCTCATGCACCCGGTATTGGCGCTGTCTCGGTGATGTTTCCGCAAACATGCGCTGTCTAAAACTGATGCAAGATGCAAGAGGAGTGAAGAAAGGGATATTATTGCATCACGGATAACCAAATCCCAAATGTGGAGAAAAAGACTCAGCGGAGATCCAAAAGAAATGTTCCACAGCCGGCGGAAGTTTCATTGAATATGCTTTATTTGCTTATCAGCCTCCTTCGTATGTATACGGTCCAATCAATCGCTTCGTACAAAATAATATGTGCAAAATCAAATATTTGCGAAATAATTTGATGAGTGAAAAGTGAGGCTTTGTGCGGCCGGCGGCGTCCAAAGCGTCCTATTTTATTTGGCACTTATTCCAACTAGCGCATTACAACTAATTGCGTTATGCGTTATTTAATCGGAAACGCATCTATTTCCATCACAGGCCCGGGGACCGGTAGCTCGGTCGGAATAGTTAGCGTTCGCTACAAAGCATCGCAATTTATTACCTGGGCACGCAACCAAACAGCCCGAACGGTTAATTTCGCGATAAATGAAAAAATTCAATTTGTACCAATTGTTTCATTAAGCATTACAGCGACAAATGAAATAACGAGTCGCGGATAGAGGCGAGTATTGCCGTTATGTTCGTTGCACTGTTTTTTTTTTGTTTTCGGTAGCCGGATAGTGAGGGGTTAGTTTTGGTTGGCTGAAGAAACACTAATCTCTGTAAGTAAAGAAGACTGATTTGTCCCACATTTTGTCGCCTCCAACTAGACAGAATGTTCTCGTTTCACCACGTAGCGAAAAAGAGCATCAGGAAGTTTCTCTAATCGTCAATGTGGAAGGGGGTCGACACTAACACCGAAGAAGAAAAAAGAGTAATAGGAAATGAGAAGATCTATAAGATATATGTTTTGTAAGCCTGCAAATTAATGTCTCTTTACACAAATTTGATCCAGCTATTGACATTTTAGGTGAGTTATAAGATATGACACTTAGTAAGTAGTTTACGTCCTTATAAACGTCCAACTAAGTCAGCACCGCATATGGAAAAGTTTGCATGTTTTGTATGTTAGAAACGTCCAGATATTAAACTTGTTTAATCGTCTGCAAGGTTAGGCTAAAAATATGGATTTTGTGCCAGAGTGAAGGAGATTTTACTAAGAAAAGTTGTTCTTAGATTATAATTTATCACAATCATAAACCTGTCAGAAAATCACTGCGGATATGATAGATGGGAATTTGATGAAATAGCAGTTAAATGTTGCGTTTTGGTAGATCGAAATAAAATTATTATTATTTTATTTCAAATAGAATGCAATAGAATATTATTGCAGAATGTAATAGTAAATCGAAGGATTATAATGCTTTATCATGGATTGTCGATATTTTCAAAACTAACCAAAGCTTGTGCTTATGCTACCTTATCCGAACTAATTAAACTCGTTTTTCCTTAAATTTCGACTGTGAGTGAACATAAATTAGCCATTAAAACTGGACAAAAGAAATGGTTTAAAGAAACTTCAAATGATACTTTTATGAATATGAATGAGTAAATATGAATATTATTAGCATTATTGCGAAACTTGCAAACCTACCATCATATGTTTTGCATTCCCAAATATTTTCTAAGTAAAATAGGTATTACTGCTTAATACTTTCAAAATTTTAAGCCGTTTCTAAAATATTTACATTTTTAACTCTCTGTGTAACCTCATGTAGACCAAATAATAGCCTAATATTAATTAATTATTAAAAATAATACTTTTAAATTAATTCAATAATAGTTTTCTATTACCAGTACTAAGGAAAACCCAAAATAAGAACTATTTAGTGAGACATAGTTGTAATCAAATAAAATTTTATTTAATTAACTAAAGTCATAATTATTACAAATATTTTGAAATTCGAATTTCGAAATTCGGATTGTCGCATTTTAAAAAATTACTTTTTGATTCGGAACTCACTAAGAGCATTCTGAATTTTATGCCAAAGTTCTTTAGCGCTGTAGTAGCTAGTAGCAGCACTTAACGGAGAAATGCTTGTTTGTTAAATACTTTAATGTTATAAAATATTAACTATAAACCGAAACATACTTTAATATTATAAGATAAAAAACTAACTAAAAAGTAAAATAGCAAATGTAGTAGTATAGTTCTTTTTGAAATTAAAATATCTTGTAATTTGCCAATAATTTTCAGGAATTGTAATGCTTTTTACTGTTCCGTTTATTTTTGCGTCAATATTTGTAAAATTGTTATATAAAGAATTAAAAAACGACAAAATAAAAATAAAAATAGTTTTATAACCCTGTATCTTCCTAAGTATTGATTTTAGAACAGGTTTATTTAACAAATCGAAATATTTTGATACAACAATATGCTGATATTCTATTGGTATTGGTACCAGAAATAGTAATTTTTATGATATACAAAACGACAGAATGCATTATAGATAGATAGATAGATAGATAGATAGAGCTTTTACCACGGAAAAGCTTCGTTCACTTTGTGCAAATAACTGACCTGTCTAATATAGAAAAGATGACTTTTGAAAAGATGACGGTTCCGCACGTTGGGTTGTTTCTGATGAAACTCTTATTTTAAATAAGTATTTCCAAAGATAATTGATAAATTAGTTGCGGTCTTTGTATACGAGGGATCATCAAGAAGTACAAGTACAAGAAGTGTAGAATATTCTATATAAATTGAAGAAATATCAAATATTTTTGACGAAAAGGAGAATTTTTGTTTTTTCTTCAAAAATATCCGATGATGCGTATAACCAATCATCTGAAAAAATATATTTATTGAATAATTCAGAATGATTAAGAGTCGAATGAGAAAACATACAATGCTTACGATGGTGAAAAGTGCCTTCCGTTCATGAATTACCTTAGAGTATCCAATTTAGTAGACACCATATGGCCAGCTATTTTTCAGTTTTATGGGCTTCGTTTGATTACCGGTACTTACAGTTACTTACTGTCCTTCGTTTTTCATTGTAGAAATGATACAATGTGAAACAGAATCCACTACAAAGTTGATTATCGGAAAACAGAATACAATTTCGAATATCCGAACAACGAGATTCTGTCCAACGTGAGCAAGATTCGGTTTACCCAACTTTATTCGTAAATGAATACTTAAGAATTTCAACGACGCATATTTCACATATCCGAATCCGGAATTTTATATGCCGGTGTGGCGTTTCGTATGCGAATAGTTCGCTGTGGGAAGTTAGCGAAATATTCATAGGGATGAATAAAATATAGCGCTGCGAAAACAAGTTTATCTACGAACGCCGATAGCGATTTATTCCCGGTAAAAGCGGATATAATTCGGAATATTTCCGTAACAACATCAATATTCTTTGTTTATGACGTCGAAGCGGACAATGGAATTATTTCGATATTTGGGAATTCGAACATTGTGGTGAATATTGCCGATTGCAACACTACACTGTTTTTATTTGTTATTTTCTATGATACATTTTCTTTCTTATCCTATTCTAATTGCTTTGTCTTCCTTGGCAGCCCAACCCTCCTATCCAATGAACTCAAGGTATTGAGCTCTTAGTACTCTTAATAACAATTAAGAAGTGATTTGGAATTTCCTTCTGAAGACAGTCTACGTGTCCTATCGGCAACACCTCTATATGAGAACGCCTGCTTAGATAGTACCCAATTGGAACGGTCTTCTATCTGCTATTCGAATGAAGAGGTTTTGTCCATCTCTGCCCGGTTTGTCAACCTTCTCATTCAATTTAGCAGTCATATCATTGAGTCTGTGTCGTCAAGTAGCAATTCCGAGCCACGGACTAAAGTGCTTAGATATCCGTTCGACTGTCGCTAGAAATTGCGCACTTGAATTTAGTCCAGATCTTCGCTAGAAATACACAGAATTACATCCTTAGATGCGGTTTTCTTCAGAATTCCTTTATTGTAGACCGAGTACTGTACTGCCTCTGTACATTTAGGCCTGCTAACTTAGGTTTTGTTTAGTACTCAATGATGTCCCTATTGGGTTCAATTGTATAAAAGCCCGAATTTACATCACCTTTCCGGTAATATTCCTACTATACGGTCTGATATGCAGTATCAGGAAGTTCAAGTTGAGGATTCCTCCAATGATTCTGAACACTAAAATTGAGTAAGATTAAATTAGGCTTAGCCATTTTTGTAAAGGCTGATATTAACTTAAACCTTTTAAAAAACTCCAATGCTAATGACTAGTTTGCTTGATCCTTTTGATTTTGAACAGATAGTCCTAAATCCCATAAGATACTTACTTAAAAGATAGAGTCAGTTTAACTAACATTATCATTGTGTCTAATATTGGTCTTTTAAGCGGAAGCGTACATCAAGCTATTTATAGATTCTGTGATACTAATTTCTCACCCTCCAAGCACTGAAACCTTTACGAGTTTTTTAAGTTGAAAGCGTTTAATTAAAGAATTGGCATTCGTAGGTAATGATGACATAGTCTGGGCTCTATCACAATTAAAGTTCAATGCTTCAGGAGATGATGGAATATATCTCGACATGCTTAGACTATGCTGCCCCACAATCGTGTGCATGTTAATACACCTTTTTGATTTATGCGTTGAGAAAGGGGTTTTTCCTGCATAATGGAAAGTTGCAATAGTTTTGCATTATTTTGATACAAATGCACTTTTGCCAAATGTCAGTCTGCGTTTCGTAGGGGTTCAGCAACGCAACAGCGGTGTTCTACTGGCTGCCGCTGAGGGAGAATCGACTGCTTTAGCATTACTGGACTATAGTAAGGCTTTTGACACTCTTAGTCATCCTTTTCTGTGCAAAATTCTTTTATTATAAAATGAAACTCAAAACAATCACACTAATTCGTAGTGACTTAGAAAAAAGGTGTTTCTAAAATTATACGAAAAAGGTATTGTAGCTTAAGGAACGTATACAAAAACAAACATATTCTTAACAGAAAGTTAAAATCATTATTTGAAACGTTGGTCTTGGTCACACAAACTATTGCACTAAAGCCAAACTATAAAAAGTGCAAAACTCATGTATTCGTTTCATATCCAATCTAAATAGCTGAAATAGTTACGCTGGCTTAATATCGCTGATAAGACAAAAACTTCACCTAGCCTCCTTTTAACATAAAATGCTAAAAACTGAATACTCAGAATATTTGATGGAAAAATTTACGACCAGGAGAACTATTCACAATCGTTGTACACGTTTCAACAATCTTTATGAGATTCTAAGAATGCACAAAACGATGTTTCAGAATTCATTTTCTTATGCGTCTGATAAGTTGCTAAACCGATACCCCGAGATAACCCTGCTCGGAAACTCGTCGAGACCGTCCTTTAGAAAGAAAATATTAATCGAAATTTTTATGTTAAATGTAGATTGGCCTTGTCAATTTTATTGCTTTAATTATTTTTCAATTATTTCAATTTTTGTTTCTGTCCATTTAAACTGTTTATTATTACCTGTGTAAAATTTGCCTCATTGTAAGTTGAGTAATCGAATTTTTCTTACACATTCGGCTAAGTTAACAGCGTAATTGCCCTTCGCTGAGTGAAAAATAAAGGCTTTTTTATTTATTTATTTTATGTATTAAAGAATACGTAAAAACTAAGACTTTTCAATGTGGCATATACCTGTTAGAATCCCTGGCGTGCGGATTATTTTTAAAATGCATTTGATGGCGATTCACTGGTTCAGTGAATACTACTCTTTCCCTTTTTTATACAACACTGTTTTATTTTCGACAAAAACAATGTAATAAGACTTTAATAAGTGAACCAAATAACAACAACAATCACAGTGAGAGAGTGATCGTACGAGTTTTAGAATATCTAGTAATAATTTGAAACGAAAACCTAGTTCGTACCGAAACCTCTTTTGGCCTTTTTCAATACCTGAATCTATTTTGAAAAACCCGGAAAGTGCCTTAAAGGTTTTATTTCGAAGCCGATATGTCAATTAGAGATACAAACAATGCATACTATACCTCTAAGACCGTTATTTTTTGCGTACATTTTTGCAAAACAACACCAATACATTCACTGACATGACCGCCAGAATTCAAGCCGTTCGGTAAAATCTCCGAAAACATCCGATTGCACGAAACTCACGTTTCCAGCACGTGAGATCGGTATATCATTAGATATTTTACAGAAGGAAGTAAAAAAAAATGAACTGTGCATTGTTTCCGCACATATTAATAACGCTTTGGTTTTTAAATGATTATATCAGATCTAATCGACATTTGTTTTATTAAATGCTCGTCTATGTTTTCTGTTGAGGTTTTCCGTGTTTCTTAAAATTTGTATTCCATATTCCTACACTCCTTTGTACCAGGTCGCCAGTTAAGCAAATGATGGAAATCATTTTTAAAATTCTATTATGGCCGAAATAATCTTATATTTCAAGTAACTAAATTTTGTTTTATTTATTTATAATTAACATTTTTTAAAATTGAGATAAAATCCATTCTTTTTCGTACAATCGTTTCTGCACTAAATGGAAAAGTAGCGGAGAGTGTCTGCACATTTTCGGAAATAAATTGCAATAAGTTTAGAATGGCTGAACGTATTTTGTCACGCTTGGAATCTTTGAAAAGGGCTCTTCTCAACGGTACCCCGATTGGATTGATTTCGATTGCTTGCATCGTCGCTGGAGGGAGTTTTGCGAAAGATAGCCAAATAAGGATCTATCTCTTTCCTAGCCTATAATATCAGTAAAAAAAAAATAAAATCAAAATAATGTAAAACAATTTTCCTTCATTTTGATTTCATAATTACTTTTTTTCCATATGCCATGTAAAAAATACAATATTGACTCGTGCGGGTTTAAAATTTCAATAAAACATAATAAAACTAAAATACTTACTAGATACTTAAGATGATGTGCTGATGATAAATACCACGAATTGGAAACTCACCTGAAACAACAAAAAAGCAATTTGTAAAACCAATATACGTTTTTCTTCTCGTGAAGGCGATATTTTAAAAAACAGCAATAGAAAAAGTTGGTTGGGTATTTCACTTTTGCCTATAGCCTAAAACCTTTCAAAGAATGTAGATGCTAAAGTGCCGAAGGTGCAGCGTATTAGTGGTACATTTTTAACAGATCGTGTTGGTAAAGAAGCTCCCCAGAAACCACTATCGGATTATTAATAAAATACCGATTTAAAAAACAAAACTTGACAGCCAGTAACATAATTACGGTGTTCTACGAATAAAATAATGCCCATCTTTGGCAATATTTCCAGGATACTAATATTCGTTTAATGTTAAAACTCCAACATTTTATTTAAAATGTCAATAAAAATTAACACTCAATCCAATTCAACGTATTACAATAACGAAAAATATTAACACAGATAAAACACCAAGACCTTTGTGTTTTAATGCAGGATACTCGCATAAATTTTAACAGTAAAAGTAGCGTTTTTAATGTTTTGATAATAAACATGTCAAGTACTTGGACGGTTGAAAAAAGAAACAAAAATAGGCTAGAAAATCTCGAAACTAAACTCCAAAGTCACCTGCACTGTGCTTGTCGGCTAAAAAATTCTTGTATTAATTTCTTTTTAAAAAGTAATCGTCATAAGACTTTCAAAGACGGATGAATAGTATTGTAAAGTTTATAAATATTGTAAGAAAAGCTTCTTTGAAAGAGAGATGTGTAATAATAATATAATAAAATGAATTTTATTTTTAGGTAAGTTTTTTTTGTTTCCTTTTTGAAATAAGTATTATCCAAGTAGTTCCACTCCCAGAGCATCCAACTTAAATGATCGGAAATATATAATTTGTTGTTTTTTGTTGTCTTACTGGATCTTTCTACTGGTCCATTGAGCGACGTAACACGAAACACCATCTTTCCTTACTTTTAGATAACACGCTTCTCAGCCTGAGACACCGACTCCAAAAGCTTTATCTCGAAATGCGAGATGCGAGAGTGAAAGGCAAACGAAAATATCCGCATAGCGTGTGTAAAGTCGAATCTCTGGACAACTTATATCCTCTAGGTGCCGGAGTAATCCGGATGGTTATATCGCGCCTCTGGGAACTGCGACTTGACTAGACGCAAATCTCGACGACGTCACCCGCCTACTAAAAGGTTAAAGTAATTTGCGGCCTTTTGTAAGTTTTGTTTCCGCGTTTCTGATTGTTAGTAAGGAATCGTGGAAGAAGATTAATGATAAAAGTTCGCTCGGAATACGTTATTCGTTGATAAGTATGCGCGATGTGGAGTTTGACATTTACCGAACGTTAAGCTTTATGTATAGTCTTCCTCCCGAGATTCTGGCAAGAGGAGATTTATCGCCTTGCCGACTGTCCATCGGGGATTCGAAGAGAAGTTTATGAGTGGTACTAGAAGTTATTGACACTCTAGATAGACATGTATTCAAAGGTCCAAATAACGCTAGTTCCGTTCTTGGATAAAAGCTCTATTTCTAATAGAGAGAAAATTTTATTTTAAAAAAGTCATTGAGGGTACAAAACATTGAAGCATTGCGTATGATTGCTATGTCTTGAAAAATATTAATTAATAACGGTCTGCTCCTCTTTACAATATTATTGAAGAGTCTTCTTTTTCTTTGATAACATGATGGACAGCTCAATCAAAAAACCCTCTTTAAGGAGTTCATATTCGCTCTCAACATGCGCATCCATTACTTTTTTCCCTTAACGATGGAATTTTAATTTTACAGTTGTAATACTGCAATTATTTTCAAACTACCTAAGATTCATTCCTCCACGTCTCATTAAGATATTTTTCGACTCTATTTCTTCGCCAAGTAAAAGGACTACTTCACAAAAGCTTATCCTCTATATCCACTTATGACTTCAAAATTCTTCTTAAAGGTTTAGTTGTGACGTTCAAAAGTTTGATCATACATCTTCACCCTGAATGTAACAAGTTATGTTTAGACAAATTTATGTAATGCATATTTCCTGCTTAATATATAAAATTATTAAGTCTTCTCCATTCAATAGTTGTCTTCGGAACTGATTAAAACTTCATACGTTTACACAAAAAATACTAGGTACGTTAAGTATGTTATTCCTAGGCATCTAACTACACTTTGTCACTGTTCATTTTTATAATTCAATCAATCAATTTATGACACTTTACCAGAGCAGCATAAAACGTGGCTCTTCGTAAATACTTGTCAGGTTAAATGCTTTTTAAAATGCCATCATGCCATCTACTTCTATGTCTTGGGAATCATTTACTCTTTTTCAATATTTTTCAATATCACTGTTTTGTTTACTTAGACGCGTGTCCTCGAAAATTACGTTAAGATATGATGTGTGATGAAAAACCTTGTCCTCTTTAACTTTTCTTATAAATTTGGAATTACAGAAACCAGTATCACATATTACACAGGTAAAAAGTGCAAAATGTTTATTTAGATGAGAAAAATGACAAACATAATCGGGAGGTCGCGCGTCATTACTCGTCCACGCCATTTTATGTACATTCAAATTCAGACAATATAGCGTCTTATTGATTTATTAAAAAGCACCAGTGAAGCAAAATAATATTTAATTTTGATCAAATTATTAGCGTACTTTTTGCTGAAACTTTCAGTCAAGCTCTGAAGAGGTCAACAGGATGATTGGTAAAACATCGGCAAGTTGGATGCAGGAAGAATCCAAAAGTGTTGAAAAAAGTATTCAATATTTTGTGGAATATTTCGTCTAAAATATATAGGTTGCTAGATAGAGTAGCACCTACTATCTACATATCTATTATTTTGTAAAAACAATATTTGATAAAATTTAAATAAGGGCATTATTTAATTTTTTATTTACTTTTGCACAAGCTACTACAACAATCAAATCGACCTCCCCTCTCAATTAGCGAAAATGTCTTTTACCGCGCTTGAAATTTATTGTAATAGTACTCATAATAGAAATACTCTTAAGCTATCAGTTTTTGTTATGTGCCCCAATTTAAATGAAGTTTGTAGTGTTTTCGATATTAACACAACCTCTAAACTACTGATAATTTTACTTACATTTTTTTTCTGTCATTATAAAGCTATTTGTTTCCATATAAGCTATAAATTTCATATATGTTGTTCCTTTCCTTGTTATATTATTATACTGATGTATGTATTTAATTTTGTCCTGTTAATCGATAATGGGCAATAAAGCATTATTACTGTTAGAGTGAACTTTTGCTTGCCTTCACAGATCTTCACGTGAAAACTCCCACATTTGGCCTGCTCGCTCTCTTTCCTGTAGTAATTTAAATACAGAAAAACTACCTGTTAAAATTTGTATAACATGTCATTGAAAGTACAAAAAAAATTGTAAATATTTAGAAAAGGCAAAGTCCCGTCTAAGTGCACAATTTTTAAATAAAATTTGAAACAAAACCGGAGTAGATTACCATTGGAAGAGACTTAACATTAAATTATTGTTTTTTGTTCCAGATGGGCTTTTTATTTGTTGCAAATCCATTTAAGTGGATCGAAAGCTGCAAAGTTCAATATAATCCCCAATAATCGTAACCGCGAATGTTGGCTTAAAAATTAGAGTTGCGCGCTCCTTAAAAATTCGAAACTATTTACGATTTCCCTGGAGATAAAAGAAATTTAATTTATTCCATGGCCGTAAAATCCGCAGGGCGTCCGAAAATTACGATCTCAACGCCACGTTCCAGAAATTAACTACGAAAAGCGGTCGCACATAGACTCGCAAATATATGAGTTTAGGAAATTAAGGGTTTGTCTCGGTGATCGCTAAAAATGCAAACCGGTCTTATTTTCATCGTTTTAAATTCTGTCTTTGCCACCTAGCTGGTTAAGATTTGTCTTTTTATATCGTCTAACGCATTTTTACAAAAATAGGTTGACGCATTGCTATTTTAGATTTTTGAACATTCATTTTTATAAAAGACTTAGTAATGTCAATGACACTAATATAAAATTACAGTAATAATTGATAGCGTTGATTATTAATTTAAAGTACGTACATACACTGCGTTGATTAGCTACATGCAGTTTAGTAAACGAAAATACTTCTGTCTGTTTACGAATACCAACACTTTTTACTTTCACAACAAAATAAACATATAATTTTTGGAAATACATTTAGTTTTGGTTAGGTTTTGAGTGTGAAAAAGATCGTTTACATCGAAACCGTTTCAGACAATGCTATAAAGAAGTTTCCTACAAATGCAATAATAGAAGAAAAAAAATTGTTAGTTTTTTCTTATTTGTTTCGTGTCGTTTGACAATTTAAACCTCGAGTGATTGAGTATTTCCAACGTCAATTTCTCCTTTTTTTAAATGGCATACTGGACTGCTCCCTATCACTTCCTCAATGGCTTGATCAAACAATCAAGGCAGATGGCATTATTTACATTTTAATGAGATGACAATATCTTTACGATATACATATGCATTAAGATTTTTAGGTATAAAAAGGTACAGACAAATTAAAAATTTTATTCGACGTAGATTAACAAAAGGTGGTGCTTCTATTTCATTAAGCATAATCCAGACAATTACAGGTACATGTTCTTATCCTAATGGTTAGTAAAAAATGCACCTTGATCATGTGACAAAGTCAAAAACAACACAAATACATTCACCAATATGACCGTCAGAATTGACGTCAAAATTCAAAGAGTGGGAAATATCTCCGAAAACATCCGATTGCTCCCAAATCCTTGCAGTAAAATCCCGGAAATGTCCGAAGTGCCTCCCTCGGATTCGTGGGAAAGGAAACTGACGTGGTAAAGTGACACTTCTCACACGTTAGATCGGTGTGTAATTAGGTATTTTACAGACGGGAATAGACAAAGTCTTTAAAAATTCTTCAAAAATGTTTGTGTAATTTAACTTAAAAATTAATTAGAATTGTTTGTAAGGTAATAACGAACTCGATAGGTGTGTTTATGTGTGTGCATATACCTCACTATATATATATATATATATATATATATATATATATATATATATATATATATATATATATATATATATATATATATATATATACAGGGTTTTTCACTTAAAACTCCGCACGCCAATAACTCCAAAACGAAAAGAAATATTTAATTTATGTAAAAAGTAGTCAAAGTGTGGGATCAAGTAGATATTTCCTAAAGTTTAAAAAAATTGACGCCTGCAAAGAGCTGGGCGTCGCGACGCGTCGAAAAATTATTCGATTGCAAAGACTTTGGAAATACGCGCATACAAAAGTACATATTATTTAAAAACTTTTTTGTTATTTACTCAAACTTATTTACTTTACCCGTTTCTAAGTTATACCGATTTAAAATAAACATTTCTTGATTAATAAAAAATGTGATTAACGCTTATTTTTACAAGTATGCCATGAATGTTAGTTACCATGGCAACCATTGTTATCGCCGTTGTTTTAAGTGCAATTACAAACAATAGATTTCAACTATTTTAGTATGATTTTATTTATTATTTTGTATCGATTTAGTTCTGATAACATGATAAATAAATGAAAAAACAGTAAAATACCTACAAGTTAATAACCAAAATTATTATTGCAATTAACTACATAATAAGACATTTCAAAAATTTTGTTCAAAATTATGTCCATCTGCTCGAACACAACTATTAAAAACTTTTAACAGATGAGCTTGGGTCACTTGTAGGAGAGTCCTTCTCGTGATAGCGGCACACGCTGCACTAATTTTGTTAATGAGATCAGCCATATCTTCGATAGGTTTTTCATAGATAACGTTTTTTAGGTAGCCCCAAAGAAAATAATCTGGTGATGTAATGTCCGGGGACCTCGCCGGCCACCTTACCAGTCCATTAGTACCAAACCATCTATTGGGATATTCTCGGTTCAAATACCTCGTTACTATTTGGGCATTATGTGCAGGCGCTCCATCCTGCTGTAGCCACATATTCATTCTAGTGTCAAGAGGCACTTCTTCTAATAGTTCCGGAAGTGTAGTTTGGAGAAATCTTAAATAGCGATCTGCATTTAAAGTTCCTTCGTAAAAGTAAGGTTCAATAAGGAATCCATTTAATATGCCGCACCAAACATTGATACTAAAAATTCGTTGGTTACCTCTTTCTGTAATCCAACGAGGATGGTTTTCGGACCAAAAACGACAGTTGTGTCTATTAACGATTCCATTATTTTGAAATCGACTTTCGTCGCTCCATAAAATTTTCGAGAGAAAATTTGCATCTTGGCTATACAAATCGGACAATGTCGCTAAGTAATACATTCTTCTAGCATAATCGCCTGGTTCTAGTTTATGAACTAGTTTACTTTTGTACGGGTGAAAAGAGTTTCTATGTAGAATTCTTCACGAAGAACTTATGGTAACACCGGTATTTTCTTTTATCTCTGATAGGGATATGTTGGGGCTATTATCAATCTGATGAATTACAGCAGCAGTATTTTCATCATTTGTAGCCGTCCTGTTCCTATCTCTTTTAGGTTTTATGATGCTGCCATATTCTCTTAAGTTTTTACATAAACTTGAAAAGGTTTTTGCATCGGGGACTCTTCTATGCGGATAACGCCGTGCGTAAACTCTTTTTACTTCTCTACAATTGCAACTGCATTCTCCAAACACCAGTAACATGTCTACTTTTTCCTCATTGCTAAATTGCACCATTTTCACATAATAATTCTTAGTTTTTTTTAAACCGAACAAATTTGGATATTTCTTGTGACAAAATGTGACAATTTTTTGATACAGCAATAACAACTTATGTTTGTAATTGCACTT